AGGACTACATTTTGCTACCTACAAGATGGCCTGAAGAACATGGTGCCTGGCCCTCACGAGAAGGTCGCACGAGGACAATGGGCCAGAGACCACTGATGTGTGGCGCTGGGCAGGGCAGTGCGCAACTCATGGGATCTTGAAGCCATCCACACCGGAAATCACCGACACTTGGTCAAACTGAATCTTAAACTGGCGGCTAAAGTGTCAGTTTGAAATTTGGTCAAACCGAAATTCACACCAAACTAAGTACTATTGGTTTAAATTTTGGCTTCACCAAAAATCTATGTATTGGCTGGGCTTTCGATCAAGCTGACATTGAGCCAAAACATAATCTATCGATTGAAGAATTGGTTGGACCGAAATCTAAACTAATACTACTTATTTCGGTATGAAAAACAGTTCAGCTGATACCATCACCAAAACAAAACATTTCTGTTGGGTATCAGTCACACCACAACACAGACTGAAAAAGGAGGGATGGGTTTCATACTGGTCTGCTCAAAACATTTAGGTTCAGTTTGAATTTCAACGCAGGCCAAAACTTGAACTGAAACCACAGGTTTCGGTCACACTGAAATTTGGTCGGCGGAAATTCAGCACAACCAAAAGCTGTGGTTGCAGTTCAACATCCAGCTTGTACTAAAATTCAAATCGAAATTAGATGTTGAGGTTTGATCCTTACGAAAACTGATATCTTATTTTTAGGTTTCCATATACGCTGTCGAAGACCAGTCGACTGCGCCCTGGTGCATTCCCGCTTCCATTAATACAATTACTCCTGCCGAGCGACTGCAAACTGTCAAAGATAGCACGTGTTAGGACTTCACATTCGTAGGCGTGAGTCTCGTGAATCTGCAGTCTGCAATAAATATCTCATTTGTATGGAAATTCCCCACTGAGCCGCAGGACGCTAAATTGTGTTTGCACTGCGGCCGCGATGTCTGCTCGAGGTATAAAAAACCTGGCATTCCGGGTTGTTTTGGCACCCAGCCTCCTGCTCTCTTCCTGTCTGTGTTCTTGCCCTATCTCGTTCTACCCTCGATTGTGCTTCGGATTCACTGCAAGCCTGGAGCCGCTGGATATCTGTTTCTGCGTGCTCACTCAGTTCCTGGTTCTTTCCGGCTCTGATCAATGCTACAATCCAGAAGATACAAATGCCTTGCTTCGCCGTGGTACTGCTCAAAATACGGCTTCTACCTGGTTTTGGAGCAGATTTACTGTTCACGGATAATTCACTCACTTGCGTTGCTGTTTTTCCAGGCTGAATGCTGCCAATCCTCTGTCGAATTCTACCGTGAATTTTTACTACAGCTATAGTTTTTAAACAGTGATCTCCATGGCCCCAACCGCAGTTATGCATTTCTTTTGTTCTTTCGAAATAAAATTGATTTCTTCACCTTCGATTCCGGAGCGAAGCGGAGGCACGTCTTGTTCAGTTCAACCAAACAAGACGCGCCTGCGCTTGGCTCCGGAACTAAGATCCAATAAGAGGAATGGTGAATCTAATTTTATTTAGAATGGGATCATTCTATGTCCAGAACACCCAAAAGTAAAATTCACCAAATAAACAAACCATGGCAAATAGAAGATCGACCAGAGCCGTATATTCCCAGGAAGTGGTCGGAAAAAAAAACACGAACAGTGGATCCAGTTTGAAAGTGAAGCAATTTTTGATCTAAGTCCGGACGGATTCCAAGATTATCCATCAGACGGCCCAAAGTGAGAGGGATTGTCCTTAATGGGCTTCGAGGAGATCACTTTGCACTCAACATACAAAGCCACAAATTAATCGGGTGTTACCATGGACTGTGTTTGGGGCATTCCACCAGAAGCCCAGAACTGGCATTTGATATATTGAAGCAGTAATCGGACCAGTCGAACGAGCACGACATTGCCAAGGAGAGAACCAAGTCCAACATCTGCAATTCAGTGCTCTCAAAGTGCAGGGAAGATGTTCGGAAGCATTACAACGGTCAGAGCGGCGTAACCGGAAGGCATTGGGATTATTAGACCACCTGCGCACCAGTGCTTTGCTCCGACGATGAGAATCAAGCCCGAGCGACGTAAAACAAACTCATGGCTCTCGCCACTCCAGGGAAGGTTGAACACTGTGACGCGATTAAACGTTGATGCTTGGGGAATATTTAGCGGCAGGCATTGATAATCCCTCCACGTTATTGTGATGGCGGCTTGAAAAGAGTTGTCCCCAACGAATTGATTTTAACACTAGGCGTGATAACAGTGAGAAGTAGACAGGTCTGCCGTGAAGAAGTTGTAGCATGAGTAGAAAATTAGACTCCGCAGTTGAATTGGTCAAATGATTTCGAAGCGTCGAAGAAATTGAAAGAGCCCAGACTTTGAATTGACGTGAGGTTTTGGATATCTTTGAGTGTCGAGAAATGGCAGCTCAGATTCATGGTGCCCACCAGATAGATAGGTCTTCGATGGGAGGTGCATAAACCGGCCAAGGAAACGATCCAGAACGAGTGGGACCGAGAGCAGTGGGATCAGATGAGGTCCAGAAAGCAATGATGACGGGGGATTTATATAACGCAGTGTCCTCAGGTGATGAATTAGATGCGAAAAGTTCGTCGGCTGTGTATTGAAGCCGCCGATCATGAGACCTGGCTTTTCATCTCGAAGACCCCAGAATGGTATGGATTCCACAGCTCTAGTACTGTTGCAGCACAGTTAAAAGACAGTTAATTTCAGGCGTGGTGAGAATATGAATGATGAAAAGGGTAAGCGATAGAAAACTCGAAATGCTGTGTTGGTATTGCGGCGCAGCCTTTTCGTGGGCCATAATAGAGAAGCACAGAAGGAGTTAGTCTGTATGGAGATGAAACCAAAAGAGATACAAAGAATCGCGAGGGTAATCGTTAGGCTCATGGAGCATGTCTGTGGTCAAGTTTAACCCGATTGGGTTAAACGAGACTTAAACGCGGGCCGCCATCCCGAATCATGATGGCAGTTGTGACATGCCGTGAGGCCGACGTTTGACAAGTTTTGGCGGGTCGGTTGCGGGTCGGTAAATATTATATTGCATCGCGCAGGTAGGAAGTATGAGAGCATAGGTAAAACCTCTGCAAAAGAAGAAATGAAATCAAATAATGGGTCGCACCTTACAGCTAATTGTAGTACCGAAGACGCGCATCAAATTTTTTTTTTTCAGTTTTCGGCACTTTTGATCCTTTGTAAAGAATGGCTCATATCTCGCTCAATTCTGCGCAGATTGAGACCGGAGATGGCGCGCTTTCTTGTGTTGATTCATACGCAATTATTGATCGAAATGACCAGAGGAAAATAGAAAACTTCAGGTCATCTAGTGTCAGTACCTTGAAACTGACCTGGAAACTTCAAATCTCGTTAGAACAGCCTAAAATTTTGGGACAACATGCTTGCATACATTGTAATTAATTTGATAGAGCCTTTTCTGCGGCATATTTCTAAGAGCTTTGGTATTTCACTTTTTCAGTCTAAATCTTATATGGTGCACAACTACCGGAGTTTTGGCACTGAGACACCCCGGGAAAGTGTTGTCAGGATGAGTAAGGTACTCCACCTCTTACTGAGCATGCAAACGCGTCCAAAAACGCGTCAAAATTGGGTCGGACGCGCTCCAAAAACAGGGTAACACGCAACTGGGACACGCACTAAGTACAAGATACATCAAACAGTCCGAGTCTGCTTGCTGCTCTTAGTGGCATCCAGAAAATGGGACAAGGGGAAGAGAAGAATTAAAAGCAAGGGAAAACATGCGCACCTCATTAAAAAGAGGGTGTGTCAACAAAAAAGTATGAAAAGCGTGATTCCGGGGCTGATGCAGATTTGTAAGCTGCATTCCAAGACACCATCTCGCAGTGTGGCCTATAAAGCCATACAGTACATCCTTATGAGTTTTGAAGATGCCTGGACAAGATACTGGCCCTCCCTGACTGTGCGTCTCTTTGTCATAGAGTGGACAGTTTTATACACTTTTCCTGGCTGATCTGCAGTTTTTGCTCTCGTTTCAAGATTTCCCGGTGATTTAGCCCAAATCAAATTATTTATTTCAGTATCATACGTATATAGGACTACTTCATAAACTCATAGAGGTCCCCAAGCACTCGAAACCCTTACAGTAAGAGGGTGGGTGAAAATTAGCTAATTTGGAATAGCGATCAGGCCACGCCCAATAAAAATATACTGAATGGCTTATACACTGCACTGAAAGACTGCAAATCGATTGCGCGTTATTTCGAGACAAATGAACCAGAATTGAGGAAGATAGAGGGAAAAGAAAAAACACTCTCAAAATGCGACCCCGCAAGATCGGACCTTTCGGATGATCGGTTTTGGTCGGATCTCAATATCTTGAATATGATTTGCTGGCCGTTTAACTCGATTCAGCTTTATGCCCGGAAGGAATAAACTTGAATCGCCGTGCCGGCGCTTCAATCAATCAACTTGATTTCTTATCCTCCTTTCTTTCTCTGCTCACAGGAGCCGGTGGACTGCAAAAAAAACCTCGGATTTGGGTTCAGGTAAGTCTAACAAATTCCCTCTCTTTCTCCCTCTTTTTTTCTCTTTTCTCAACTTGAAAAACTTGAATTCGTCGCTGTAATAACAGACATAAACCATAAGCCTCAATCGTTAAAGAACGGTTAATTAATGTTGGTAATTTCCGGTGTGACCGGAAATTGAAGCTGGGAGGCAACAGCCACGCTTATCGGGGGTTGCCGATGCCGAGACAGAGATGACACATGCCGGCCTCACTCTTTGTTCCAGACATGTGCGAAGCCAATGCCGTGGCAAGTGTCATGGCAAGTGTCGGTCCTCTGCCATGAACCCACGCCCACGGTGTTTGCCCCCAGTGGGACGTATAGGAGATGTAGCAGTAAGTTAAATGGGATAAATATCGGAGTATCACCGGTGGTGGGACATCGTTAGAACACAGTACAACATTGACAAAATAGTGTTCCACATACCCGGGTACCCTTATTCACAGAGTAGTTGTCAATGGCCCTACGGTGTAGTGGTATACACTGCTGCTTCTAATTGCCTTGCTCATGGTCGTTCTGAGCAGCAAGCTTGGGTTTGACACCCAATAGGGCCTTTGCTCTTGTGGAATATTCAAAAAAAAAAAAAAATTCAGAGAGCAATACGCGATCATGCTGATTACGCCCGTGGGAACCGCACGTGAGACGTCGTGAGTGCACGTGTTGATCACTCAATTGCTAGCTACAAGACAGGACCAGACTTGATCCAGACTACATTTGTTTTTATAAGTAGTGATCAAGGGATATCCGATCTGTGACAAACCGAACCGGGGCCGGTTTTTTGAAAAAAGCACTATCGAATGTCAGGCTGGAGTCGGATTACTCAAAGTTCACGGCGGCAGCGAAACAAGAATCGAAAGTGAACATTGGGGGCGATTATGCACCGAATGGCCGCTGAGATGGCAAGCCATGGAAAGTACCCAAATCACTGGTCGCCGATGCGATTAACAGCTTTTTGAAGTCTCATGCAGGGTCGGGAATTGGCGTAAAGTCCTGTAACTATAATTATCGCAGAA